TAGTTTTGGTGTTCCTATAAAATGGGCCCCAAAACCTTATTATAATGTTTAAGGCCCCTATATTATACTTTAATATTCAGTCATGTATTATGATTACTATACTTTACTATACTCTAGCCATACTATATTACATACTACGGTTGACCGCAGTATGTTAAAAGAGACTCTAGTTTAGGGTAGCTGTCTGAAGGGCCGGCACTTCTGAGAGGTGCCGCAGATCAATGTGCCCTTCTTTGAGGACCCAGATCTAGGTGGAAGAGCATTCGCCACCAGAGGCCTGGTTTTGGCAAAACCCGAAAACACTCACCAGTGCCAGGAGGCACCAGATGGAAGCTTGCTGTTTTATCTGTGACGGTTGGGGCCCCGGCTTTTAAAAGCTGCGTCCTTGGACGGCTTTTGCGCTGTATCATTGGATTTGTTTTGGCTCCATTCCTGCAAAGTCAGGCTTCATACGCCGGCAAGATTGAAGTCTTCTGATTTGAGTGTTGTCAACTAGCCGAACGGCTCCACCGATGGTGTTCCGTTGCTTTCCTCTGATCAAACGATGTCGTCAGCGTGCAGCACGCAAGCGTGTATAGCTAGCGAGTGCTGTGTGCGGCTTGGCCGACAATGCCTTCGAGCCTCTGGCGTATGCATGCAATGCTCTTACGCATATCCTTCTGCTTTGGGGGGACTTTCTTGTTTGGGTGATGCCGGATCTTTTGGACTCCCAAAAGACTAGATCCCAGAATTCTTCTGCCACGACGGAGTCAGGGACAAAGCAGCGCCTGGACTTCTTAACTTTTTGCCAGCAGGTACTTGGAGGTTCATGGGTAGTTATAAGTAGGGCTATAACTTGGGTAGCTGTACTTATAACCCTAAAAAGACCTAATCAGGGGATTGAAAGCCCCACGTATAACTACCCCTGAACCTCCAGGTAGATGCAACGCTCGCATTGCGGAGCCCGGATAGTGTGCTCCCGCTTCTTGCTTTTTTTTTCTTGAGGGTCCATGTCCCCAATATAGTATATTCTTTGGCTTCAACGTACCTCTGTAGATATATAGGGCATACTTTAAGGCCAAAGTATTTTGAACGATAGTATAGTACGTTATTCTATATGGGCACGTGGGCCCGTAGGGCTCAATATAAGGAATGCCGATGAGTCGGCTTACTCAGCCAACAGGCTTCAGGTGCTTCGGCTTCCCGCCAGGAGTCCCAGATAGTGAGCGATACTATACGATAGAACACTGCTATGGTTTATTACACCGTATAATATACTATACATTCTCATATATGTATATGTGTATTATTGTACTATAAAACTCTTCATCATGGACTAGACAGGGCCTTAATGGCTCCAATCGACGGACTCGCTCCAATCGGTGGGACTCCCCAGACTTCTGAGAAGCGGAGCACAGGAGACGTGCCGGGCGCATTGTCCGTTTGCGCCTGGCGAAGTTTCATTTTGCAGGAACACTTGGAGGTTCATGGGTGGTTATAAGTGGAGATGCAAGTCCCAAAATACTTGGAGGTTCATGGGTGGTTTTAAACGGGGTTATTCAGTCCCATGATATGGGTGAAAACTGTGGTCGCCCTACTTACCACGTGCACTTATCACTAGCCATGAACCTCCTTCGGCAGCCAACGTGCACTGTCCAACTGCCCAACCTCCTCTGTGCCCGACGCCGTGAAGAGTTCTTGAAAGGACATTGTCAGACCTGAAAGTATTTGGCAGAGGACAGCAAGCACTGAAGCATATACAGTACATATGCGCATGAGAAAAGTGAGAACTGGAGTAAGGAGCAGCTGACGTTCAGCACGGTACCAGGGGCTTCTTTCCTGCAAGCTTGCAGCCAGGTGGAGTGGCTCACTTACTTTAACCCTCACGAACCTTGGCGTACCCTCATAAAACTTAGCAAACCCTGATAAACCCCAGCTGCTCCTAAAAGAACCCGATAGCCCTAGTGCACCCGTACAATCCCCAGCTAGTCCTCACGAAGCCCTGCTTGCAGCTTCGCCTTTTGTTTTGACGTCTTTGACTGGCAAAGAAGTCCTTGGCCGTTGGAGGTTAGGGTTTGGGGTTTAGGGCTCGGTTTAGGATCTAGTCTTTAGTAACGGGTTTAGGTTTTTTCGGTTGTGTACTTGAGGCCTCTTGTCTGAGCTTGGCTCAAAGACGCTCCCATCAGTATTGGTACAGAGTCGGGCTTAGCGGCTTAGCGTTTGCAAGCACCCAGAATGAGCGATTCCTCGCAACAGGCTGTGGGCATCAGATGCTTGCAATTCAGATCGCGTTCTGGGCCAGTCGGTCTAGTCTACCCAGCGACATTTGAGGTCCGTTTGTCTCAAACAGCCTGTAACCGTAACCCTCACGCCTAACCCCAAACCCAGGGCGCCACATAAACTCTGAGTCCTGCATAACCCATTACTTCTTGGAGGTTCATGGGTCTCGGCAACTGGGGTTATATTTCAGGTAAGTAACGATACTTATACTTACTTATAGCCCCAGTTAAGGTACTTAAAACTGTACTTACTAAGTCCCATGAACCTCCAAGTTGATCCCAAGGCTAGCAATGGAGATCCATAAAGTGTAGAGCTTACGGCATTCAGAGTTCGCAGGGTTTCGCTCGAAGCGATTCCTCGCCATAGCTTGAACGCTGGTTCCGCGCTGCACCACTGGCGCCGACCCGCAAACTTTCGAGTATTTTCCGTATTCATGACTCCGATTAGACTATTAGAGTTCTTTCAGAGAAGTGGCAACACAGGGCATCCGCAATCGTCATTGTTGTTTCTAGAGAGGATCACAACGAAAACCCTACACGCTGCTTGGAGGTTCATGGGTAGTTATAAGTGGGGTTATAAATAGGGTAACTATACTTATAACTCATTTTAGGGAACATATAACCCTACTTGTAACTACCCCTGAACCTCCAAGTAGACCCTAAACCCTAGACCCTTGTAGAATCCCTATAGACCCCTTTAACGGGACCCTTAAAGGAACCCTTATAACTACCCCTGAACCTCCAAGTGGCACAGGTCATGGGCCTCGCCTGGAGGAATCTCGGCAGTGCGACTCTCCTCTTCGAAGCTTGAGGCAGCCAAGCAACATGGGAGTTTCCGAAAACTAGGGGTACCTTATTTTGGGGTCCTCATAATAAGTATCCTACTATTTTGGGTACTATATTAGGGTCCTCTATTTTCGGAAACTCCCACATCGCAACATGTTTTGAGGCTCAGGGCTTAAAAGGCTGGTTTAGGGTTTGAGGGCTTGGGATGTAGATTTACAGTTTACGGTTCAATGTACAGGATTTATGGCATTAGCTGCTTGAGGCCTACTGCTGTGAGGACTTCACAGATATACGCCGGCTTTTGTGTTCCTCGCGCTGTGGTCAGTTGGGGGTTAGAAGGGGCTGGCATTACGAATTATTTGGGGGTGTACTGCTTCTACTCAGGGTTGCCCGTTTGCGTCCCCATCATTCGCACAACAGCAACCCAGAGGTATGACCTAGAGGCAAGTGCTGGCAAGGATGTTGATGAGAGCCCGACATACGCAATCATGGTCATGAAAATGATCTATGCGACTTTACACGGTACGTACGCCCTTGGTACAGCCCGAGGCAACAGAGCGATCCCGAACAAAAAACGTGTCTCCCCTTCTGGGCCGAAAAGTTGGCCTCAGGATTTGGTAAGCATATGTGGAGTTGCAGCCTCTTGAGTGTATACACTCCCTCCCCCAACTAGCGCGCCCCCCCAGCAAAAATGCAGCTTAGGCGTGTTCAACAAGGGCTTCAGAACCCCCTGTGATTCTGAGGGCTCTGCGGACTGATTCAACAAGGGCCCGAAGACTTGCAGGGGTCCAGGGATGGCAAATCAAAGAAAGTCTCCAATCAGTGGGGTTTATTCTACTTGGAGGTTCATGGGTAGTTACAAGTAGGGTTATAACTCCCCTAATATGAGTTATAAGTCTAGTTACCCTACTTCTAACCCCACTTATAACTACCCATGAACCTCCAAGTAGGTGCAGGGGTCTGCTGGACCACCCTCTTTTGATATAATATGGGCCGACGCTATGATTTGTGAGGTTTTTGTGTTCAGGCTTTAGGGTTTAGGGTATGGGAAAGGCTGTATCGAGGCAAGGTTTTTCCCTCAGCAAGCCCTTTTAGCCTGCCCACCGAGTCACACCTTACCCTAGGCTTCCTCGCGGCTTATACTATGCTGTACGAAATGACAACAGATGATAAACATGTGGTAAGCCATGATATTATACGCGTAGTATATATAGTAGATTGGATTACATTATGTGTGCCTTGAACCCTCGAACCTAGCGCCGGTGTAAGCGATTTTATCGCCGGCAACCAGGGCGAGTGCGGAAAGGCCAGCTTCTTGCGGCGCACTCCGGGTGTGACATTGGGGCAGCTCAGAATGTAATAAGGGCTTTAGGCTTTCGGGTTTAGGATTTGGGCTTTTAGGGTTTCGGATTTCGGGTTTAGGAGTTGGGCTTTTAGGGCTTAGGGTCAACACGGGTACCCAAGCATTTTTTGAAATCCAACTGGAGGTGGTCAAATTCTTGCGGCAGGGGTTGATTACACCCCGAGGTTTCCGAGGAACGCCAACATGTCATATGCTGTTTAGGATCGGTAGTTACTGCGATGGTTACAGAGGGGTTGAGTTGAAGCGTTTCAGCCTGTTTGTGGTCTGGAAACAGCACCACGGTGCAGTGAGTTCAGTTCTATCCATCTGTCTGCCGCTCACTGCACGGGGTTCTTGCTTCTTGGGGTGGATGTTGTGGCGTTACCTGGACGCAGAGGTTCTCTGAGCGACGTATCCGACGAATGAGTACTATAGTAGGGAGGGGGTCCTTATTGTAGTTAGAGTATAAGCGGCCCCAAAAACCCTGTTCCTATTTTTAAGGCCCCTCTATAACAGTACTAGGTCGCCCTAATAGACCCCTTTAAAGGAGATGGTGCCAGTGACCAGGGCTCCGGTGTCAGGCTCGAGTCAGGTCGGGAAGCCGTGAGGGGGTGATGGCTCCTGCTGGATGGGACCCCGAGCTTTATGACGCCCTGCGGCGAACGCTGAAAGAAGAGCTTCGAACGGAGCTTCAGGCTGAGAAAGCCGTGCTGCTAGGGCTGAGAGAAGAGCTTCGTAGGGGCTTTCAGCTTGAAACAGCCCATGCGATTGGGCAGTGCATGGCACGAGTGGAGGAACTGAGGTACGAAATCAGACAGCAGAAAGATCATACCTTTGATGCTTGTCCTGAGCAGATTGTAAACGTGCCTGAGGCGATAGGTGAGAAGGAAGCCCCCAAACCAGACTTGCTGCAGACGGAAGAGGGGCCGAAAGAGCCCGTTCCCCTCGGCGAGTCGACGTGGAACGCAGTGCTGGTCATTGGCCATGCTGGGGCGGGATGGTTCGACACTATCGTCGCGAGTGGCGTTGTGATCGCAAGCCCCCTGATGCAGCTTGCATTTACCATTGTGCTTGTCACAAGGGATTTCCTGGGAGAGCCCTTGACGGCCGAGATTGGCCCGGCACAGAGGTGGAGAATGGGGGCCGCCCACGACCACAAGCATGTGGATCTTGCAGACACAAGCCTGGTGTCGCGCGTATGCAACGGAGATTCGTCCCTGATCATGTCCAACAAGCAAGCCGACCTGATTGGGCAGGTAAATGCGTATCTTGGCCTGGAAGATTCTCAGTTGACCCCTGATGGCTTGTCCCCTGGGACCGTCCTTTGCGTTCTGTGCGTTTTCTGGTGGTGCCTCTATCTTGGCCGGGAGCTGCGCTCAATCCTTTCATCCGTCGAGGCTATGTGGTATGTGCCACAAGGCCCCACTGAGATTGTTGGCGGCACGGTCCTTTCCTGCTTGTCAACGCCACGACGTTGCTTGTTCTACACTGTTCGGCTTTCAAAGGCTGCAATCTCCTGCATGTTGCTGGTCGCTGGCATTCTATGGATTGCAAGCACTACGTCTGTCAGGCGGCTTATGCTGCATGCCGTGGTCTTGAAAAACCTCCTCGAGCTGGACACCATTTTTTATGGAGCTTTCATGCCCATGAAATTCCAGGTCGGCATCAAGAAGCTCAAGCCATTGCACTTCCGCAACTCTGTATGGCGAAGCCAGATAGAGTGCTTTGTGGTGGTGCTGCTTTTCGCAGTGGCAATGATTTTGACATGGTCCCAGCTGGTTGTCCCACTGTCTGCCACCATGGAAAACTTGAAACGTCAGTACTGTGCTGGCAACCAGGATTTCGTGGTCGGCACAAACGATCATCATGGTGTGGCCGTTGTGCGGCCAACGGTGCGTTTTTCTGAGGATCTGCTGCCAGGTCATGTTGCACAAGAAGTGCACGAGTATGCTTTAGCAAGTCCATCACATCAGAGCCAGCTCCTTCTTGTAGTCAACAACATTCAGGACTTCGAGAGGACGCGTTTGGAGACGTTGGCCACTGCCACGACGCAGTCACTGCAGTGTGAGGATTTTGACAAGTGGTTCCTCTGGGGCCAGGGAGATGCGATTCCTGACAGATACGCGCCCTACTGGTGGGCAGCAGCCACCGGCCTAGGATTGCCAAGCAACAGTACCTTAGTCATAGTTCGGTAACGTTTTACATTTTTATGGGTAGGTAAACCAACCCTAAACCCTAAACCATGAACCCTAAACCCTAAACCATGAACTAGGTACCTGTGCGGATATGGCTGCCCACTGCCTTGGCCCGCATTCCCAGCTCCTGCGAATGGTCTGCAGTGTAACGTGCGGGTGTGTGGAACCATCGGCCAATCCGATGTACATGGTTCCTTTGTCATCGTTGGATAGCATTTTACATTTTTATTGGTACTGAAACCCAATAGGTAGTAAAAACCGGGTGGGGGTTCTTTTTGGGCATTTTTTATGGTTTTTGTTGGGGTATTTTTTATGGTTTTCGGTTCGGCGGACGCAGGACTCAGTCAGTCAGTCAACGAGCCAACCGAACGGTCAGTCAGTCAGTCGGTCAGCCAACCGCGCGGTCAGTCAGTCATCCAGCCAGCCAGTCAGTCAGCCAGTCAGTCCGTCTGCAAACCGCGCGGTCAGTCAGTCAGCCAGTCAGTCAGTCAGCCAGTCAGTCCGTCTGCCAACCGCGCGGTCAGTCTCTCAGTCAGTCAGTCAGTCAGTCAGTCGGTCGTCCAGCGGTGAGTCGGTCAGCCAGTCAGTCCGTCTGCCAACCGAGCCGTCAATCAGTCTGGCTGTCTGTTAATCAGTCTGTCAGTCCGTCAATCCTCTAGTCAGTCGGGCTGTTGATCTGGCGTTGCAGCTGCGACCAGTGAGCATGGGGTACCGAGGACTCGGAATCGCCAAAAGAGGGGGCACGTTTAAGATATATGATGAACCGGAACCGCCGAATTCAGGGGGCGTGTTTAAGATACATGACGAGCCGTTATCACCAAAAGAGGGGCCGTGTTAAAGACATATGTTGAAACGGCGCCGCCAAAAGAGGGGGCGTGTTCAAGATAATTGGTGAACGGTTATCGCCGAATGCGGGCGCGTGTTAAAGATATCTGGTGAACCGGAATCGTCGAATGAGGGAGCGTGTTGAAGATATGCTGAGCCGTTATCACCAAAAGAGGGGCCGTGTTTAAGATATATGGTGAACGGTCATCGCCGACTGAGGGGCAGTATTAAAGATATATGGAAAGGGGTGTGTCTAAGATTTTTGCATAATCTATGAATCTATAGTGAACCGGAATCGACAAATGAGGGTGCTTGCTTAAGATGTGATGAAGCGCCGGTCCTCTTGCAAGTGCGTTTGCAAATGGGGGGGCTGCGCCGCCTCCCAGACCCCCCCCCCGCTTTCTCAAGCCCTGTTTTTCTTTAGCGAACTTCGTACCATCAAGAAAACTATGGCGATTTGCGATGGTCGCAGCAAGTCAAGCGCATAACTATTCTGAGACTTTTCAAATCCCGTCCCAGGGGCCCAGCCCCCCTCGCTTTATGTTTGGGCCAAGCAAGCTAAGATATATGGTGAACGGATTTCGCTGAATGAGGGAGCGTTAAAGACGTATATGGTGAAGCGAAATTGCCAAATAAGGGGTGATATATATATATATATATATATATATATACATATATATATATGGATGGTGAACCGGAATCGCCAAACGCGGGGTTGTTTAACACGTATCATGAACCGTTATCGCCAAATGAGGGGGCGCGCTTATCATGTATGTTGAACCGTTATCGCCAATTAAAGGTGGTGTGTTTAAGCTATAGGCTGACCCGGAGTTACCAAATAAGGGGGGGGTGCTTACTGCGTGCAAGTGCGTTTGCAAATGGGGGGGGCTGCGCCCCCCCCAACCCCCCCGCTTTCTTCAGCCCCGTAGTGAACTTGCTTTAGCGAACGTCGTGCCATCAAGAACGCTTTCTGGCCATCATTGGCGATTAGTCGTAGCATGTCAAGCGCCTAACATATATGAGACGTTTCACAGCCCGTCCTAGGGGCCCAACCCCCTCCCCCCTGCTTTATGTTTGGGCCGCGGTGAATGGTTTTCGCCGAATGAGGGGGTCTTGTTATCGCCGAAGGCGGGCGCGTGTTAAAGATATCTGGTGACCTGGAATCGCCGAATGAGGGAGCGTGTTGAAGATATGCTGAGCCGTTATCACCAAAAGAGGGGCCGTGTTTAAGATATATGGTGAACGGTCATCGCCGACTGAGGGGCAGTATTAAAGATATATGGAAAGGGGTGTGTCTAAGATTTTTGCATAATCTATGGTGAACCGGAATCGACAAATGAGGGCGCTTGCTTAAGATGTGATGAAGCGCCGGTCCTCTTGCAAGTGCGTTTGCAAATGGGGGGGCTGCGCCGCCCTCCAGACCCCCCCCCCCCCCCCCGCTTTCTCAAGCCCTGTTTTTCTTTTGCGAACTTCGTACCATCAAGAACGCTATGGCCATTTGCGATGGTCGCACGCAAGCTAAGATATATGGTGAACGGATTTCGCCGAATGAGGGAGTGTTAAAGACGTATATGGTGAAGCGAAATTGCCAAATAAGGGGTGTGCTTCATATATATATATATATATATGGTGAACCGGAATCGCCAAATGAGTGGGGTTGTTTAACACGTATCATGAACCGTTTTCGCCAAATGAGGGGGCGCGCTTATCATGTATGTTGAACCGTTATCGCCAATTCAGGGTGGTGTGTTTAAGCTATAGGCTGACCCGGAGTTACCAAATAGGGGGGGCTTACAGCTGGCAAGTGCGTTTGCACATGGTTCCCGATGAGAACGTGCGTGGATGCCGGTAAGTTGCTGCGAAGCTGCCAAAAAAAACAGAAGTGCGCGAATGTGGGCCGTGCACAGGGTGTCTCATGAGCGCCGTGCACTATGTTGCATGTACATATGGCCCATCCTTGTAACGCGTACAGGTTGTATAGAAGCTAAGCCCGAAAACCATAAAAATGTCCAAAAAAAGACCCAAAGCCAGACCCTTTCTCGTGACTCTTGGAGGTTTTTTAGTATTCCAGCACCGAAAACCATAAAAAAATACAAAAAATATCAAAAAAATATCAAAAAAAACCTGGACCCGTAAAAACCCTAAGCCCTAAACCCTAAATCCGAAACCCCAAGCCCTAAAAATCATCCTATCCCAACCATGAACTAGGTGCAGGCCCAAGGATGCTTGCGGCAATGTCGCGATGAAGTGCAGTTCTGGAGACAGGAGATGCCCTGCGAAGATGTAGCGACAGACTCCGAGGCTTGGCAGGACTTTTGGGATTTCTATCCTTCGGCTATGGAGGCATTCTATGGGGCCAACCAGGCGCAGAGATCTCAGCTTCAAGCATTGGCCGAAAACATGAAGGAGGCCGGCTGCAGTGAGCTGGATTTTGAGCTCGAGCCATTTGAGATTCTTTCGGAGGTTCGTTTCTGCGATGGACATCCTCAGCTTTTCGCACCTTTGAGCCAGCTTTGCCCGGCGACATGCTGTACAGAGAACAGTCCTTCTTGCCCATCCAGCTGCAGTGCCTAGAGCCTCGAGCAGCGCCACGATCTTTCTTCTGGCCACGGATTTATTTTCTAGCTGCACTTGGAGGTTCAGGGGTTGTTGTAAGTGGGGTTATACGTCCCCTAATGAGGGTTATAAGTATTAGTCTCGAGTTATAACCCTACTGAAACTACCCACGAAACTCCAAGCAGGGAGGCTTGAGGGACCTCTTCCGATCGGAGCCCTGAGCTGCATCATGGCCCCAAAAGCAAGTAGAAGCCGGCCTGCAAGGAGCGCGAAGAGCAGCGTGACTAAAACTTAGGGCCTAGGGGTACTTAGAAATAGCTTCTGTTCAGTATAGAAAAGCTGCACCTCAATGTGCCGGTCGGATGTTTAAGCCCAGAAGGCGCCGAAGAAAACCTGCCACTGGCCCGTCTGCCCAGCAGTTGGGCCTCGTTTTCTTCGCATCAAGCCATCCCTCCTCTCCTTTTTGAGGATGTTTCAGAATAATACGCCTTTTGCAGAAGGGTCTTTGTACCCTAAACCCTAAGCCTAAACCCTAAGGGGAGGATGGCTGAGCCTTCGAAACTCTTTAGTTAATTCGATGTAATTTCCAGAGGGCAGCAGCCCTAGCACCCGCAGCCATATCCAAGCATGACCGACGCTTGGTGGGCGCGGGAAGGGATAGGGTTGATGATATAAATCCTGCAGTACCCAGAAGAAGGAATATACCATAGTTCCCATACTTTAGGGTCCTTAAGGTCATGCAAGATTTGTATCATCAACAGTAGGGATGCTACGAGGAGCCACAGGCGTTCTTCAACTGCATGTCTTGCGTTTCCCGGAATGGCATAAATCAAGTTCTAACCAGGGTTGAAGATGCAACTGAAGGCAAGTCATCCGTACACCGCGATGCGACGCGCTACAGCAAAGACATTGACATGGGCATTGCTGATAAATACAGGGTGAGCCAAAACACCGAAGTTCTGCCTGTGTAATAGTTTTAGGTCCCAGCGGACGGTTACGGAGATACCTGGACCGTCTCGATTTTGCGGGCACTTAGCATCCTGCAGCGTGCTTCAGAAGGATCTCAGCTACCGGAACGGTCGAATGGCAACCCTGCTGCGGGATGGAAAGGTGCGGATAGGAGGAAAATTGGATGCAAGAAGCCCTAGTCAAACTTGGATTTAAAGACGCATCCGCTGCACGAGGATAAATGGCCGCAGCGGGTAGGCTGCATGGGTGGCCCCCTAAATTAGGGATGCCTTTTGGCAGGTCTTCACAAGAAGGAATATATTATTTTGGGCTGTATATTGGGCACTCCAGTGTCGGAGACTGCAATATCCTTTCTTCCGCCATTGTCTGCTTGTGCAGCAGGCTTGGACATCGAGATCGTCAGTGACACTGTCAGTTTCCAGGCCATTCCGATGCAACGAAGTCTGTGTAGCGAGCCGCTAAGCTAAGTTGCCCTCTAGTCCGCATCCCAAAACCGTGTGCTAGCAGCTGCTAGCAGCGGTTGTTACGATCGGGTTCAGGGTCGGTACTTGGAGGTTCATGGGTAGTCATAAGTGGGGTTATAACTAGGGTACTAGGGTAACGATACTTATAACCCTAATTAGGGGACTTCTAACCCTACTTATAACTACCCCTGAACCTCCAAGTAGGACCTACACCCCCGTGGCATTGGTCTGACCTCGCGCACATAAATATGAGAATAGCTACGAATGATGGATACAAAGTATATTAATTGCAGGAGCACCTAACCTAAGCCTTGAACTATCTTAAACCCTAAACTTCCAAAAACCTGCAGCTTCGCGTGGAGGCTGAAGGGCCGATACTTTTGAGAGGTGCCGCAGTTCAATGCGCCCTTCTTTGAGGACCGACATCTAGGTGGAAGGGCAAAGGAAACCAGGGACCGGGTTTGGGCAAAACCCCAAAGCACTCGCCAGCACCAGGAGGCGCCAGATGGAAGCCTCCTCCTTTTTCTCTGGCGGTTGTTGCCGCGGCTCTTGCGCTGCGGGCCCATTTCCGCAAAGTGAGGCCTCATGCGCCGGGAAAAGTTTAAGTCTTCTGATGTGGGGTGTCCGAATGGCTCAACCGATGATGAGTCGTCGCTTCCCTCTGATCAATGTATGTCGTTGGGCAGAAAGCAAGAGTATATAGCCAGTGAGTGCTGTGCGCGGCAATGCCGGCAAGCCTCCTGCGAATGCCTAACCTACATGCTTGGCACGTCCATCTCCTTTTCGGTGGTTTCTGCTCTTGTGTTCTGTTTTGTTTGCGTGATGTCGGATCTTGTGGACTGGCAAAGAGATGGATCCACAATTTCTTCTAGAACCGTGATATCAGTCACTAGAGCCGCGCCTGGATGTCATCACTTTTTGCCAGCGGGTACATGTAACGATCGCATTGGCGGAGCCCGGATAATGTGCTCCGGTTCTCTGCTTTGTTTGAGGGTCCATGTGCCACTGGAGTAATTCCGTATGATTGTGTGGTTTTCGGGCCCAAATTCCCAAGTAGCTATGTAAGGAAGACTTTAAGGCCAAACCCAAAGTCCTGAACCCTAAAGGCCCTAAAGTATATACTATATGGGAGTTTCCAAAAATAGGGGACCCCAGTATAGTACCCTAAATGGTAGGATCCTTGTTATGAGAACCCCTAAATAAGGTACCCCTAATTTTCGGAAACTCCCAGAGGGGCACCTGGATCCAAAAGACAATATTCCTGAAACCGTAAACCCTAAACCGTAAGATTCCTGAAACCCTAAACCCTAAACCGTAAGATTCCTGAAACCGTAAACCCTAAACCGTAAGATTCCTGAAACCCTAAACCCTAAACCGTAAGATTCCTGAAACCCTAAACCTGGTCTCGTACGGTTCAACAAGGACTTCCGCCGGGTCGGGCTTCGAGGTCAGCCTTAACTTACCTTTGGTTAGTAGGGGATGGGGCTCCTTTAAAGGGATCTATAGGGGTTTAGGGTTCCTTTAAAGGGATACTTAGCTTGGGTTGGTTAAAGGGAACTCCAGAAAGTTGGAATATGGCTTCAGGGTAGGATCCCCTATAGTTTACCATAAAGGGTGTAGGATAATCATATTCCAACTTTCTGGCTTTTACTTTAGTAGGGAATGGAGGAATGGGGTACAAGTACAACTACTCTTACTACCATTCTTCCCTTCCCCACTAAGCAAAGGTAAGTTAAGGTGCTTCGGCTTCTCGCCAGGAGTTTAGGGTTTAGGGTTTCGCTCTTCTATTCTTCCGCTTAATGGGCTGTACTCTACTATAGAATATGGGAGTTTCCGAGAATAGGGGACCCTACTATAGTACAAGAAATAGTACCCTCCTTATTCTAAGGACCCCGAAATAAGGTACCCCTAATTTTCGGTAACTCCCAGATTGCAATGTACTATACGGCTTGAATGCTCCCATCAAAGGACTCCTCACACTTCCGAGAAGCAGGGCGCGTTGTCCGTCTGCGCCTGGCGAAGTTTCATTTTGCAGGAACGCTTGAAGGTTCATGGGTGGTTATAAGTGGGGATGCAAGTCCCAAAATACTTGGAGGTTCATGGGTAGTTATATATATATATGGGGTTATAAGTAGGGTAACTATACTTATAACTCGTATTAGGGGACTTATAACACGACTTATGACTACCCATGAACCTCCAAGTATGGGTGATAGCAAAAGCTGCCCTGCTGATAACCCCCATGTATAACTACCCATGGACTGTGCACGGTCCAACTGCCCAACCTCCTCAATGCCCAACGCCATGAAGAGTTCTTGAAAGGACCTGTTCAGGCCTGAAAGTATTTGGCAGAGCACAGCAAGCGCTGAAGCATATACAGTGCTGAATTTTCCAAGTAACCTACACTTGCGGCGCATGAGGAAAGTGAGAGCTGGAGTCAGGAGTTGCTGACGTTCAGCGCAAGAGGTACCAGGGACTTCCATCTTGTAGCCAGTGGACTGGCACACTTAATGTAGGGGCCTAAATGGCCTAAATGGCGACCAATACTACGGTGGGGGTTCCGTATTATAAGTACAAGTTGTTAAGGCCCTATATTACCTGTAACCGATGTGGTTGTAGACTGGTGCGTTTTAGGGAGGTTTCGGGTGTTTTTGTTCGACCTTGTCGGTCACACCTAAACCGTAATTAAGCTGCATGAACCCCAGCAAACCACCGAAATGAAGCTCAGTAAACCCTAAGGCCGTAGCTACGCCTACTAGACTCAATCAAGCTCCAGTACACCCTACTAAGCCCCAATCCCAACCCTACTATTTTGGAGGCTCCTTGTTAGAATGATGGCATAAGCCCCCAAACCCTATTCTAATTATCCAGGCCCCTACATTAGGGTTTAGGAATAGGTTTAGGATCTAGAATCTAGTCTTTAGTATCGGGGTTAGGATTTACGTCTTGTGTGAACTTGGCTCAAACGCACTCCATCAGCATTGGTACAGAGTCGGGCTTAGCGTTTGCAAGCTCTGCGCATTCGAGAAGACCCAGAATGAGCGATTCCTTGCAACAGGCTGTGGATTGTGAGTCTGGTCGAGTTCATGCAGTCATGACGGTTCGCCTCTGGCAGGATTGTGCACTACCTGATGGCGCCACTGGTATCATGTTGAGGCCATGCCCCAAGGCCACAGCAGCTCGTCGCAATGCATGCCGCGAGATGTGTGAGGCGCCTGCCTTCAAAGCTCTCGACGGACACGTTCGTCGAGATCTTGAATCAGATAGCAGAAGGCACGCCGAAACAGAGAATCCTGAATAATTGCCAACATGATTCCTTTCGTAGTTCCCTTTTCTAAAATTACTATAGTTATAGTATACCCCGAAAACCCCATTCTAATTATCAGGGCCCCTACATGAGTCATACACCTCCTTGGTCCAAAACCCAACTGGGCTCTTGTTGAGATAGTCTTGTTCTGAAAGTTTGAACTTTTCCAAGCTAGCTTCAAGCCCTTCATTCGCAGAGCTTGAGCAGGATGTTATGACTTCGTGTACGTGCCGCACAACAAGGGCAAAGACAGCAACGTGGCCCTGGCGTTTGTTAACTTTGTGGACCACCTGTCTGCCCGGACTCTTGGTAGGAACAGATGCCAGCTGTAGCGAAGGCTGTTCGGAGTTTACAGCATCCAAGGAAAGCATTTCACACCTTGCACGATTGGAGTCATCCTGCGCTTGGCAGCAGCTTGAAGGTGTCGCAGGCAGCTGCATGAGACCGCAGAAGAGAGCTCGCATTTGGCACCTGAAGCAGCGCACACTCCGGCAGGATCCTAATGGCACAGCTGAGTTTTCAACCCTACATTAAATCCTAAACCCTAAACCCTAGTCGTCTTGACGTCAGGCCGAGATCCAGGGCCTACAGAAGAACCTGGCGTTCTATGTGGCACGGCAGCTCGGCGAACATCGCTAACACCTTCTACAAGGGTTCCCTTAAAGGGAACTCCAGAAAGTTGGAATATGGTTTCAGGGTAGGATACCTTATAGTTTACCATAAAGGGTTTAGGATAATCATATTCCAACTTTCTGGCTTTTACTTTAAAAGGTTCCCTGAGGATTCCGGTATTTGGGGCTTCTTTTCTGGACTGAGCGCGCCCTGTGCTTTGGTAGAAGGCGCGCGAAGCTGCCTCAATGACTCTGGGTGTGTAATGTAGGGGCCTTACTGATTACCAATAGTTTCGGAGCTTATGATCATTGATAGTATTTAGAATGGGCCCTACAGCCTTATTCTAAAAGGCCCCTGCATTACGTGCTGTGGAAGCAGCGTGAGTCTGCAGGTTCGGCTTGCACGAAATCGAGAATCCGAATGCACCGCGAGTGTTCGAAGATGGACAGCCTCAGCCGCTGCTGGAGGTGTCGTCCGGGTTCTGTCTGATGCGGAGTACGAAGAGTGTTTATGCCGCTATAGCCTACTATCTGCGAAAGATTACATATGTGTATGTATAATTACATAGATTTCTCTATAAATGCATGCATGGATGCATGTGTGTATATACATTTTTCTACAGAATAAGATATGTTGCTATAATATACTTCAAATTGCTCTAAATTACCGTTTCCTACGGTATATCATCAGATATTACTGCCTGCTTCTAGACACGAGCTATTTACTAGGTATTTACTAGATATTCCAAGACGTTACTCGATGTTGCTTTACATTACTATACAAGACTATATTAATAAATCACAACGCATAATGTAGGCGCCTTGATAACTTGGATAGGGTTCCTTTAACAGGTTCGAAACGGGTGTTATAGGTTTAAGTTTCACGGAGGTTGTCCATTGGAATACGGCTTCGGTCTACTATAATTGGTATAGTTGTATGAAGGGATCCTAAGACATGACATGGGCGATGGGTGATTATTCAGGCCCTGACGTGCGGGTCATTGGGATTGGGCAGCACCTGTGCAGTGTAGTTGAGGCGATGCGCTAGTCAATGACTACGTGTGACTTGTGGATGTGGTGACTGAGTGCGGGAGTCTGAAAAAACGTTAAAGTCTTGCGAGATAGCAATCTCTGAGATACTTCCAGACTCTTGCTCGAGAGGCCGTGAAGAAACATGTTGACATCGAGCTGATCGCCGAGGCGCTGGGCTCGGTTTTCAGCTCGAAGTGTCCGTTTCCAAAGTTTTCGCAAGATTCTCGGTGTAGGGTTTCGGGTTTTAGGGTTTAGGGTTAGGGTTTAGGGTTTAGGGTTCTGTTCACAGGCCAGCAAACAGACGAGGCCTCGAAAGGTGGCCCTGGCCTCGTTGGCCAAACAGAGTCCAGGAACTTATCGTATCCGCTTCTCCCAAGGATGGAAAAGTTTCAAAGCCGAAGCCCAGGCTTTCAGTACCAGCTCAGCTCAGCCCCACCCGACGCAAGTTGCCCGGAAGGAGCGCGCCCAACAAAGAGAGGAGCTCTTTCAGCGCAGGGCTCAGGCTTAGAGCGGTGCGGAGCAGTTTCTGGGCAACCGTTTTTTGTTGAGGTTTCCAGCCTTTCCAGCGAACCTCCAGCCGCCGCTCGTCGAATCTTCAGCCAGTCGCCTGGTGAGACGGAGTCATGGAGTCATTGCATGAGGCACTGGAGTATGTCACATTGTCAACAATGGCCGGCCACTTAATGCGAGAGCCCTCGATGCTGAGCACCTGGCCGCCAGACCGGTGAAGCAGGTGCCGGCTGTCCCCTGCCGACGCATGTGCAGATGGGTTCCACAGCATCGTGGCAGCAAGATGATATGCCTTCTTCAGCAACGGTAGAAATGAATCTCATACATGTCCAGCGCCCCACCCATTGCGGAGTAAACCCAATCTGCAAGGGTACCTGGGCAAGAGCTCTGCTTTTCAATATGACTTCATCATTGATTTTTCGCTAAAGGACAGACGTTTTTGATTCAGTTTTTCTCAGGTACCAGGAGGGGGCCTCAATGCCCATAATAAGAACCTAGCAAGGCCTACTTACGGAAGTAGTCCCCTACCCCCCTCCTTAGGCTCCCTATGACAAAAGGATCATCATCGCCATCATCACCATCACCATCATCACAGTCATCACCATCATCATCATCATCATCATCATCATGTTCCAGCGGCTAACCACCGGAAACATTGTTGTGCGTGACAGCTCGCACGACCAGGACTCACACGCTGCTTGGCTTTCTGCCAACCATGCTCTCGCGAACGGCTGCCATCCACGCTGTCGTCAAACTTCGTCAATCCTGCTCCATGAAGCGCTGATCAGCACTTCTCATCAGAGGATGCTATCGATCGATGCCATCTTCCTCCAATCTCTACTAGTTTCGCTTTTTTCGCGTTTTCGTGTTGGGTTCTGGGGCCATTGGGGAACCCAGTCTTCATTTTCGCAAGTCCGTTCGTTCCCCTCACCTGTCGACCGCGGTCTAGAGACCATCGTTTCGTTATCATGCACTGCCAGGGCAGGGGCGCTTTTGAAAGCATCAGCAAGATTCCGTCGGATGCTAGCCAACGCGAATGGCAGAACGGGTGGATGGATGTTGAACGCACGGGTTCGTACATAGAGTTGTCCTCTGAAGTCACATCATGCTTCATGAACGCGGGCGTGCATGCATGGCACAACAACGAGTTGTCTTGATGTTGACGAAGCCACTAGCATTTGTCAGTTTTCATGTGCCAGTGATTTGTGGCCTGATGCTCGGCTATCCATCCGCAAAGCTGAGGACGCTTGGCAGACTCAGCGGCCCCAGCTTCCGGGCGCTGCGTTTCAACCGCAGTGCTTGAACCTTCAGTTTCAAGGCCTCCCTTCAACATGACGCCTGCGACCCCTAAACGCCTAAACGCCTAAACTACCCTAAACCCGCGAGGCACGATGCTACAAGGGCACCGGCAGACTGACCCCGGCTTTCACCGGTCTGCCGCGCCTGTGCCAGCCGGGGAGCCCAGTGGGGCACCTGAAAGGCACACGTGAAGGGCCGTGCATTATGATTACTATACTTTACTATACTATAGCCTTGTATTACATACTACAATAGACCGAAGTATGTTAAAAGAGACTCTAGTTTAGGGTAACTGGCTGAAAGGGCCGTTGCTTCTGACAGGTGCCACAGATCAATGTGCCCTTCTTCGAGGACCGACATCTACACGACAGACCTGGTTTAGGCACAACCTCGACACCGACACACACACACACACACACACACACAGACACAGACACACACACACACACACACACACACACACCCACACACACACACACACACCCACACACACACACACACACACACACACACCACACACCACACACCACACACACACACACACACACCAACGCCAGGAGGCAGCAGATGGAAGCCTCTTGTTTTTTCTGTGACGTTTGGGACCCTCACGAGCCTGCGCCGGTGAGGGTGGGATCTTCTGATTCTGTGTTGTCGACAATCGAGCGGCTCAACCGATGGTGAGTCATTGCTTGCCTCTGACCAACGGATGTCGTTGGCGCGCAGCACGCAATAGCATATAGCTAGCGAACGATCGGTGCGGCTTGGGCGGCGATGCCGGCAAGCCTCATGAGTATGCCTACATGCATTTAGCACGTCCAGCTGCTGTTGCGTTTTTTGTTTGGATGATTTCGGACGTGGTGGGTTGACAAAGAGATAGCTCCCACAATTTCTTCTAGAGCCGTGGTATCAGTCACAAGAGCAGCGCCTGGATGTCATCACTTTTTGCCAACGGGTATTGCACTGCTCGCTTTGGCGGAGCCCGGATAGCGTGCTCCGGTTCCCCGGGATCAATACATGAAATGCCGACGAGTCGGCTCACAGCCTTTCTGCATCTCAGCCTCCAAGAGGCAAAAATTTGGGTTCTTGTTAAGGAGTTTAGTTGAGGCTACCAGAAAATGGATTTAGAAACACATGCGTATTATGGTAACTTAAGCAAGCTGAAAATGGATTTATAAACACATCCGTACTATGGTAATTTAAGCTACATTGCTTAATAAGACAAGAACCCAGTCACTGCATGACATGTGTTTCGGCTTCTCGATTCCGAGCCCTGGCAGGGAGCCCCCCTCCTTCTGCATAATATAGGGGTCTCAATAATTACCTATACCATTTTGGTAGTTCCTTATTATGGTATCATAGATCCCCCCAAACCTTATTCTAATTATGAAGGGTTCCTTATTATGGTATAATAGACCCCCCAAACCTTATTCTAATCATTAAGGGCCCTGCATTACTTCACTCAAGGGACTCCTCTGAGAAGCGAAGCAGAGGAGACTTGCCGGGTGCATTGTCCGTTTGCGCCTTGGGAACTTTGATTTCACAAGAACAGGCCAATGTGCACTGTCCAACTGCCCAGCTTCCTCCGTGCCCAACTCCATCCGTAGACCCTAGACCCTAAAACCCTAAACCCTAAACCGTAAGACCTGCAAGTATTTGTGGCCAGAGCCTGCCCAACCCGTGAACATGGCAGAGGACAGCAAGCACTGAAATACATCCAATACCTACACAATCACAATCTACCGACACATTTTTTGCGGATGAGAAAAGTGAGACCTGGATCAGGGCCTGCTGAATTGGAGTTTGGTGCCAGGGGTTTAGGGGTTTAAGGGCTTAGTGGTTTAGGGTTTAGGGTCTGGGCTTTAGGGGTTTAAGGGTTTAGGGGTTTAGGGGTTTAAGTGTTTAGGGTTTAGGATTTTTAACCTTCTGTCTCTTGGCTCCACAGAGTCGGTCTTACGCCTTTCGCTGCAAACCGCACTCATTGACCCGACGTGCTTTAACCTTTTTGGGGTACGATAATCCCTACCATACAACAACGAGGTTTCCCAACTCTAAGCTCTAAACCCTAAACCCAAACGGACGGCTAACCTTTATCGGGGCCTATTTAATTACTTACACTGTTTTGGGGGGCTCCTTGTTACAACTATGGTATAATGGGCCCCAAAACCCTATTCTAACTATCAAGGCCCGAACGGGATACTGGGCAAGTAGGAAACTGTAGGGTCTAGGGCGCTCATGGAGGACCCGGCTGTAATCGGGGAGTTTCCGAAAGTTTGGGGGTACCTTAGGGTTCCTTTCAAAGGGATCTATAAGGGTTCCTTAGAGGGATCTATAAGGTTTCTATAAAGGGTTTTGGGTTTAGAGTTTCCGAAAATTTGGGTACCTTGTCTTGCGGTCCTTACGATAAGGATCCTACTATTTTCGGTACTACATTACTGGTAGGGTCCTCTATTTTCGGAAACTCCCATTTAGGCTTCATCAGTTGAGCAGGGCTTTGGGCTATGCTATAATATGTTTGAAATATGCAGGCTCAGGAAATGTAGACTGCATTTATACATGCGCCTACATCATTCTGCATCTGGGGTTTAAGGTTTTGGTGTTAGGGGATTAGGGGCATAGAAGTTTAGGGGCAGGGCTTAGGGTAGTAAAGGTCGCGCTCAGGCGATGGTTGGCAAAGCAGGGATTCCGAGTCCACTTGGAAACGAATGGGGCTGACTCTGGTAGTTTTGAACATCTTTTCTGACTGTTGCGACACATACTAACACTCCATTGAACATTTCAGAAAACATTGCTACTGACGAACCTTGCTCACCCCTAAACGCTAAACCAGTAAGCCCCTAAACCCTTAAACAAAGTGTGTCCGATCACAACGAATTTGCCGAGACTTTCCTATATCCCCTAGTTACGGAGCCTACCTAAAGTGTCGTAGGAAATAACTTGAGGTACATATTCCTTAAGGAACCTACTTTAAGTTCTAGTAGGACCCCTGATGACCCCTAGATTATTTTCATGTATACATTTGTTAAGTTATGGTAGGAACGTTAAGATACTGTAAAGTAAATATTCCTTGAGTTGTAGTAGGACCCCTAAAATAATCTGAGGTGATTGGCTGAGGGTCCAGGAGGGGCATGGCTTGATATACGAGCCTTTTTAACTGGAATAGAGGGTTTTGGGTATGTTATACTATAGTTATATTACCATAAGGAACCCCCAAAACAGTGCATTTAAATGGTTTTAGACAGTCTTTTTGTACCATAAGGAACCCCCTAAAATTGTATATTTAAAAGGTTTTAGGAGATCTTTTTGTACCCAATCGTGGCAACTGGGCTGCTAGGTTGGCCGCTTGGGCTCCCCTTGCATGGTGGTGGTGCCGCACTCATCATCAGGGTTCGGGTTTTAGGGTTGAGGCTTGAGGCTTTGAGCTCTAGTAATCTTAGGGCTTAGGGTTTAGGGTTCAGGGTTTAGGCTTTAAGTTCTAGGGTTTGGGGCTCCGGGGTTTAGGGTTCAGGGTTGAGGGTTCAAGCTTCAGGGTCTGCAACACGCCGATGTAGGGGCCTGTATGTCTATTGATACTATTCCTTGAGGCTCCTTCTTAAATTATAGTCTAAGACCCAAGGCCCCTATACTCAGCCCGTTGAGGATTTGGGGTTACGGGTTCAGACGAATCACGTGTAGGGTTTGGGGTTGAGGATGGTTTGATATATTCTATACATCCATGTCAAATGCATGTATGCATGTATGTACGTGTGTATGTATGTATGTATGTATGTATGTATGTAGATACTTCTAGGTAAAGCTTCGCATTTATTCATTCCTTCACTTATTCAGTTATAGAGAGAGAGAGAGAGAGAGAGAGAGAGAGTGTGTATATATATATAATATAGAGAAAATTATCTATATAACTTAAGGTATAAAAGTTCTACTTCGCTGTTGGGCCCCTAACCCCCCCCCCCGCAATTCGGTTTCAACTGAGATGGGGAAGCCCTAATCCCTAAACCCTGAACCTTAAGCCTTAGAGAGTCTATCTATCAAGATATTTATATATATTGGTAAAATAAGTACAAATAATTATGTGAATAAATACATAATGGATATGTGAACCAATATATGTATGTATATATATATATATACAGACACATACATACATACATACATACATGCATGCATACATACATACATATTCATGTGTATATATATATATATATACATATACATATCAAGGGGGTGCCCAGACGAATGCCGCTCAGGTGAACTGCGACGCGCAGTTTTTCCCAGACATGCTCTCCCGCGGCCGCCCAAGGTTTAGGGCCTTTGAGGGAGGGTTGTTCAAGGGGGGAGGGTACAAGGGATCCTTAAAAACCCTTAAGGGAACCTTAGGGAGAAGTAGAGAGAACTAGGGGTTAGTAGGTTATCTACCCCCTTGAAGCCCCCCCATAATGATACTATAGCAAGGTTTAGGGCCTTTTAGGGGTTCAGGGTTTAGGGTTCAGGGTTCAGGGTTTTAGGGTTTAGGCTTTTGGGGTATGAACGAAGGAAGATGTTCTTCTGTTCCTCCTTGCCGGAGGCTCCTGGCATATTAATGCAAGCAGAGGCCTTGTTAATTCCCAATAGTTATCCTCAGGGCTCCCCCGATGATATTGATCGTAGAATATACCTAGAAATTTCTATGCCGAAAATCAAGGCTCCGCATCAAGCCCTCCCAAGACCCCTTTAACAAAAAAACTTGGCAATATGGATCCCTAAACCCCCGAGAGCATGGTGCCGAGGCCCAACGGAATCCGGTGTCAGGCTCTCGGTGACGCGAAGGAGCAGTGGCTGGCATGTTACGGATAAGCTTTGAAGGCCTATGTAGTTTCAGAAACAAGAAGTACCACGGGATGCAGTCAGGAGGACGCTCCATGAGCACAGTTCCGAGAGGATGACGATGCCGATGCTGAAGACGAGACGACAAGGATGATAGCATCAGTTTGGTTGTGTTACTGAAAACAGAATGGTTACAGTGGAGACGAGGACGATGATGCCTTCCATACTGCACCCATACAGTAGTAGTCCATAGCACGGATGCGATTAAGGGCCTAACGTCATACAACTGGCTAAGCGGGGGCAATATCCAAATGAGTAGTTGTCAAAACTAGAGTCCACTGTAGGTTCCTTTTTAAAGTGTGCCGTATTATATGGGGGACCTAAAATAGAGGATCCTTATTCAGAGAACTACCCGGACCCACATGATGCCGCTGCTCCGACCATGTCTCTGCGGCGAGGTTACGACTTCTTTCTCAGCGACAACTGTGGTAGTTTAGGGCTCAGGGTCTGTACTTCTAGGTTCATGGGTAGGTATAAGTGGGGTTAAAAGCAGGGTAACTATACTCATAACTCATATTAGGGGACTTATAACCCTACTTATAACTGCCCATGAACCTCCAAGTAACAGCAGTGACGACGACTACTGCGAGCTCTCCGAGCTATGTCATCCGGCGGAATCCCCAATGCCTGAGGCTTCCAGGCCAAAACCCAATCCCTCTGCACGGCAAACCTGCAGAATACAGGGTTCCTTATTATAGTCGTAGTATAATATATCTCCAAAACTCTGTTCTAA